CTACTTCTGGTATAACTCTGGTCTTACCTGACCAGACAACCCCCAAGAATCTGACAGACAAACCAGGTCCCTGAACCTTGGTACTATTCACAGCCCATCCTTTCTCCTGTGGATGTTGCAGCAGTCTAGCATCAATATAATGGTACAGCTGCACTGTTGGCAGTTTCTTCATATGGCCAAGTCCTGGGCTACAAGTCCATGACAGATGGTGGGGCTGTGGAGGTATCCCTGTGGAAGGATGGTGAAAGTCCATTGCTGTCCTTCCCACATGAAGGCAAACTGTTCCTGACTTTCCTGCTCAATGTCAATGGAAAAGAAGGCATTAGCAAGATCTACCACATAATGGTATGTTCCTAGTTCATGGTTGAGGGTATTATCCATCAAGCCTGCAATAGAAGGGACAGCAGCATGCATAGGGAGTATGACTTTATTCAGTTCTCTGTAATCCACAGTCATATGCCAGGAGCCATCTGGCTTTTTTACTGGCCACACTGGGGAATTGAAAGGACTATGGGCGGGCTTTATAATACCCACTTTTTCCAGCTCCTGGAGAGTTTCTCCAATCTCCTTATGTCCTCTAGGCAGTTTGTATTGTTTGGTATTAGTCACCCACCGAGGTACAGGCAAAGCTATGGGTGGTTGCCTAGCATGTCCCCTCAGAACTGCCTTCACCACACGAACTCTCAGTCTGAACTGACTAGCAGTGGTCCACAACTATAGACCCTGCAGGATATCAATCCCAAAAATATACTCAGGGATAGGAGATATATACACAGTATACTATTTTGGGGGTAGATGCCCTATTCCCAAAGGGATTTGGGCTTTTTCCACCCTCTATGATAGGGGGGGTCCCAGGGAACTGCTCAGGGTTACCATGAATCAGTGAACATTCAGCCCCTGTGTCCACCAGAGCCAGGACACATTTTATGTTCACCAATGGATAGTTATTTCAACATGTGGCCTCCGGTCCCCACCCAGTCCCTCAGGGCAGATACCTTGACCTTTCCCTCAGTCAAACCATGTTCCCCAATCACCTTCCTGTGTGGGCTCAAGTGAGGTTGGCTCGCTCTCCAGCAGGAAGTCTTGCAAACACAGGCTGGACTTGTGGCTCTGTCTCTGACCTCTCCTCTTTGGTCTTAATAGCTGGAACTGCTGCTCTGGTTTCATTTGTTGCCATAGCTCTAGTAAGATCTTTTTTGACTTTTCATCTAATTTCCTTCCATCTGTTCCTGCCTGTATTAAATCAACCATCATCTGGGTCCTCGTAAACTTCATGGGGCCATTGAAATTCTTCTTGTGAGTAACAGATCTTATTTATTTCTAGGTTCTCATTGCTTCAGCCTCTCCTAAGTCTGCTACTGTACATGACACTTCACTTATGGGATGCCCTAAGTGAGGGGAAAGAATGGCCACTAGAGACCCAAAGAGGGATGTGGGAGCCATTTGAAGCACAAATTTATCATCCAGTAGTGAAAATCTCTTCATCTGGGCAATAATTCTCTGGACTATAGATGGCATTTCTTATGCCTAGCTCTCATAACACCTATTGGAGCTCAGCATATGTCTGCCATCTAACAGGAGAGGACAGCAGATCACCTGGATTGGGCCACACAGCACGAAGTGCAGCCATAAGCCAATTGAGGAGGGAGTGACTCCCTGGGGTCTGATGTGTAATTTGTGATCGCTGCCTTAAGGTGGGCTGCACTGTCAGGGAAGCCAGCTTTCCCATCTCTGATCCAGACAGAACAATTCCATCCACCCCTAAGTCCCACAGACACAGGAGCCAAGCTGATATTGACTCTGAGGGCTTCTGCCTAAACCGGGAGCCCAAATCCACCAGCTCAGCCTGAGTACAGGGGCAGAGCATAGAGTGCTCCACGACCTGGGGAGGGGGCTGCTCCTCTCCTTGGGGAACTCTCGGCTGCTGGGTCATTATTTTCTTTACAACCACTGAGCGTACTTTCAATACAGGAGGGGCCAGTGCCTCCAGCCCCACCCCTTCATCCTTCCCCAGCTCCTCCATTTGCGGGGCTGATGGCACCTTTCTCTCCCCTCCCCCAAATGCCTCCTCTGCTACAAACTTTACCTTTTCTACCGTGCCTCACAGCAATGCTACCTCAGTCTTCAGCAGCTCTCTTACCTTCACCTCAATGCTTTGCAGCTGGTGTTCTTGTGCCACCTCCACCTGTGCTTCCCTTAGGAGTTCGTCTTTTTCCTTGATGGCCTTTTCCTCCTTCAGAGCACCTGGCAGGGCTGCTATCTTGTTTTGTAAGGCATCTTTTACTTTTTCAATGCCACCTTACTACTGGTGTTCTTGTGCTGCCTACTCTCACATCAGTGCCATTTCTTTCTTCAGGGAATCCACAGAAGTTTGCAGCTCACGTTCTTGTGCTGCCATTTTTTGGGTCTTTTTCAGGAGTGTGTCCTTTTCTTCTGTAGACTGTTTTAATACTGTGAGAAGCAGCCAACCCACATTTCCTGCTGCCTCACGCACAGGTGCTCTGTCTCTCAAAAGACCTACTTACTATACCAAGGGCCACCCCTACAGCCTCAGGTGTCATCTCCATTTGCCTCCAGTCCTGGGGTGGGGCCCAGTCCTTTAGGAGGCAAGCCAACTCAGACCACATACCCATTGGGGGACAATCCACTGTCTCCGCATTCACAGGGGCAGCCTGCTGAAGCACCCCTCCCATAAGGGCAGCTTGTCTTTTTCCTTGGTCAACAATGAACCCTGCTGACTTTTGCCAGTTGTCTTGCCAATGGGTTTCAGCCCCGGGCAAGTTTGCTATGGATTCAATGTGACCAAAGAAATTGACAGCAAAACGTTCTTTGGGGTGAAAGGGTTTATTACCCAGCTTGTTCTCCGGCGGTAGGTTGAGCACTAGCATCTCTGCCTCCACCCAGAGCACTGGGCCAAGCTCTCTATATAGCACGATAATAGCTTATTGCCTACAGGTGTGGAAGCGGCAGCCCAGCAACAGGCCAGTTACATCATCAGGTGGTTTAAGTTCAGTAAGGATCCTGGCCATAGGAACCCCAACTTCCCCACTCCCTTCTTTGCACTTCTGGCCCCATAATCTTTGTCTGTTTGGGGGCTCTTCTCTTTCCCTGGTGTGTTCTTCACACAAAGGCAAAGAAACAGGACACCCGTGTCTTCCTTTCACATGATACGGCAGATATAAAATGAATCTTTATCTTGTGCCTTTCCTTCCTTTCTTTTCTCCTCTAGTGCCTCCTTCCCCTAGTTTTGAGGCTCTTCATGATTTCTGCTCATCTGCAGTGTGAAAGGAGGATGCTGTCCTCTTTGTCTGATTTAGTTTTCCCTTCCTGGGCAGGCATGTCCTCCCGGCCATCACTGCTCTCTTCATTCTTCTAATGACTTGGTGGGCCTGTGTCTCTTCCTGGGCCTCAGGACCCTTGCATCAACCTTCCATTACTTTTCAGGTCTTACTTCCTCTGGCACTTGAATAAGGGCTTAGAACTGCCCATTAGCATTGACAGGGAAAATCTTTTTGAAATAAGCATTGGCCAACACAATTATACTTCATAGCAAAATTTTTATTAGGATTAAGTCAAATTACAAAACAAGTCAAATTATAAAACAGTTTGTGCCCCAGATTCCACTATTTGGAAAGCAAGAAAATCAATGTGCATAGCGGTGTTCCTGACACCACCATGGTTAATGTTTAAAGCCTAATAACTGGTCAGCAAATGTTTAAAGCCTAATAACTGGTCAGCAAAGCATATGTCACTTCCAAGCTTTGGGCCTGAGGAAGACATTCCCTACCTGCCTCAAAAGTAGACTCATCATAGCCCAGGCACCTAAGGCTGGAGCCTGCTTTCTTTGGGGACTAATATTAACACCTATATTTCGAAAGAAGCTAGGCTTGAGGTATCTTTATGGCTTCGAAGGCACAGGCCGTGCAGCTGAATTACGAGCTATTGCATTGGTCTCTCCAGTGTGGCCATGAGCAGCCCCCTGTAACGGGAGACCTGGTGCTGTGTCCTGGGCTCCTCAGCACGGCCTCTGCATCCTCAGCTCTGCTCCTCTTGCTCCTGGTCTTGTTGATCAGCTGTGAGTGTTGGTCTCAGAGGGCGGGGCAGGGCTCCTGCACTGTCTCCAGCCACGTGGTGAGTGACCTGTGCTTTGGATTCTCATTACCCAGCATACAGAGGGACCCGCCACAGAGCTGGGGGGTCACTCCAGTGCAAGTAAGGACAGGAAGGCTCATTCTTCAGGTGTAGCATGAGATGGGGAAAAGAAGCCAGCTTCCTCTGGAGAGGCTTACCAAGTTGGGAAGCAGAACTGCATTTAGTGCAGGATACACCCAGCACGACCAACTCTGTCATTTAACAGGAGAAGGAGCTGGAAAAGGATGTCAGCGATAACAGTGGGTCGCCACACAGCATGGGCTCTGCGAGGCCATAGACAGAGGTATTGAGCCCTTATCTGGGCTCTGCAGAGAGCCCTGGAATCATTAAAAGCAAGTGGGAGTCTGAGTCCCCAGAACATAAAACTTATCACTTACTAAATACCTGGGCCTTTCCTTCAGCTTAGGAGTCAAATGTTGATGCTCAGAAACTCTTTTTTCTTATTCTTAAACTCTGTAACGAAGGGAATAAAATCCAAAGTCTAGTGACGAGCCCAGAGAGCTGCATACAGAGGAGAAACACTGTGCAGACACAAGCACACACGTCTGTTTCATCCTTACGGCAGCTGGACTCCTGACTCCCGCCCTCTCCACCCTTCCCACCCCACCCAATTCATTAATAAAAAACAGCTACTGTCAAAAACTTAAACTCAGTTGCATAATATAGAGGGATGATAAGTTCTCATTTCTTCAGGCACTGGAGGATACGTGTGACAGATTTTGATTCTCTCCAATTTATGCTCTTAATACATTTTGCAGCCTCTCTCCCTTCACTAGCCAGTCAGCTCGGCTTGCATTCCCCAGCGAGCCCTGCATTACCTCTGACCCCACCTGCACTGCCCCTGCCCTCTAGCTCAGCGGGGATTGCCCAGGCGTTTGTGCAAGCTTGAGTTCGTAGCCTCCTAGGCCGAGGTCTCCCTCACAAAGGTTTTCTTTGCTCAGAGTCTGGGGTGAAGTTTTCTGGTCCAGACCCAGCCTTGCAGGAGGACTGCTAGGTGAGGTGGCTTGCTCCTGGTGATTCATGGCCAGCTCGTCCTGATTGACAATGCATTCCATATCATCCTCTTTCAGCTGTTCCTATATTTTAGAAAGAGAGCGAGAGGTCACTTCATCATGAAGGCAGAAAACAACAGTAGTCCTCTGGTGTAAGAAAGAGGGTGTTCGTTCTCCTGCACCCAGCTGCCCGGTCTGCCCTGGCTGCAGTTTCTGTCTTAGCGTGGTGGGCATGGTGAAGCACTTGCCTGCATTGGCATTGAAGACTTGACACCATTGCACAGCTGCCTGCAGTCGCTAGGCCTAAAGTCGGTGGCAGAGAGCAAGTGCTCACTGAGGGCTCCTTGGTTTTAGGGAGTTAAAATGAAATTAAATGAGTTACTCGAATCGGCACCTAACTGGGTGGAGAGGAGTTAGGGGTTAGCATTGTCCTGTGACCTCAGAGTATGGAGTGACTCTCAGTGTTGGTTTGGAATTCTTCCAACTATCACAAAATTCACAAAATGTTGTTTCTGTTATATTTTATTTGAAAACTGTGTCCTCAGAGCATGTTTTTTGGGATGAGTGTCACAAAGCTAAAAATGGTTGGAAGTCACCATAGCAGATAATGGAAGAAACTAACTAGATCTGGCTAATATAATTTCCCTCAGACAGAGCTTCCCTTGAAGGAAGGACAGCGGGGATTGCCCAGGCGTTTGTGCAAGCTTGAGTTCGTAGCCTCCTAGGCCGAGGTCTCCCTCACAAAGGTTTTCTTTGCTCAGAGTCTGGGGTGAAGTTTTCTGGTCCAGACCCAGCCTTGCAGGAGGACTGCTAGGTGAGGTGGCTTGCTCCTGGTGATTCATGGCCAGCTCGTCCTGATTGACAATGCATTCCATATCATCCTCTTTCAGCTGTTCCTGTATTTTAGAAAGAGAGCGAGAGGTCACTTCATCATGAAGGCAGAAAACAACAGTAGTCCTCTGGTGTAAGAAAGAGGGTGTTCGTTCTCCTGCACCCAGCTGCCCGGTCTGCCCTGGCTGCAGTTTCTGTCTTAGCGTGGTGGGCATGGTGAAGCACTTGCCTGCATTGGCATTGAAGACTTGACACCATTGCACAGCTGCCTGCAGTCGCTAGGCCTAAAGTCGGTGGCAGAGAGCAAGTGCTCACTGAGGGCTCCTTGGTTTTAGGGAGTTAAAATGAAATTAAATGAGTTACTCGAATCGGCACCTAACTGGGTGGAGAGGAGTTAGGGGTTAGCATTGTCCTGTGACCTCAGAGTATGGAGTGACTCTCAGTGTTGGTTTGGAATTCTTCCAACTATCACAAAATTCACAAAATGTTGTTTCTGTTATATTTTATTTGAAAACTGTGTCCTCAGAGCATGTTTTTTGGGATGAGTGTCACAAAGCTAAAAATGGTTGGAAGTCACCATAGCAGATAATGGAAGAAACTAACTAGATCTGGCTAATATAATTTCCCTCAGACAGAGCTTCCCTTGAAGGAAGGAAGTGTGATTTCAGCTCTTCTTTCACTGATTTTGGGAAGACCACAAAATTACTTGCAGAGCAAGCTCTGGCTTGATGACCCCAGGTCAGTGGTTTCCAACTTCAGCCTGTACTGGAATCACTTGGAGGGCTTGTTAAAGCACAGATGCTGGGCCCCAAGCTCAAAGTTCTGAGGTGGGGCCTCATAATTTGCATTTCTAATAAGTTGCCAGGAGATGCTGAGGCACTGGTCTGGGAACACACTTTTCAAACCACCGCCTTAGGCTCTTGCACCCTGGGCCCCTTTGAGATGCAGTTTTCTCTGTTTATGCAAGAGGTCGGCCAGCTGGACAGCATCCGAGGGTGCCGTGAACTCCAAGATTCTGTTCCTCTCCACCCCGTGATGTTCTGATTTGTTGGTAATGATTCTAATGGCCTCTAAGCACTTTTTATTCTATCCCCTTGAACTTCAAAGCAGAGGCCTAAAATTGAAAACCTTAAAACACAGCAGTTTGTGAGGACACATTACTTCTTCACATTTTTCTAAATTCATTTTATGGTTAAAAATAGTGGTACCAGTACAAAAAATCACATTTTTAAAAGAATGAGCCCACATCAGCAATAGCTGAAGACAAAAGGAGTGCTTTCTGGTGCAATGAATTTTAAAAATGCTTCCTTCTTAAACCAGAAATAATAGCCTCGAGGTTCCTGGCTCATCAATATTCACCACACCTGTCCCACGTGGGATGTTTACTCACCCCATAGGCCTGAGGACTGGTGAGCAGCCTGGAAATGGGACCGCACCATTCGGGTAACGTTGTGGTCAGCGGAGGGCCAGAGTGGGTTAGAATCGGTTTCAGATATCTGCAAGGTCTGTTAAGGGGTGCTTGCCAAAAGGAAGTTAGGGTTTCGTTTCTCACACAGCACAAACCTTTGCATGCAGCGAAAGATAGTTAATGCTCACCTTTAATCCCCTACTCCCTCATTTACGAGGCAATTCAGCCTGCAAAAAAGAGCTGTTTATAATCTTTGTTCCATACAGTTTTCCAGCCCTCCTGGTAGCCTTAAATCGTGATGAGATGGCAGCCGGACCAGCAGACATCAGAGAGCAGCATGAATATGCCCCTCCCTTCCCTCCCCTCTCAGTGTCTCATCTGCTTAGAGTATGCATTCTTAAGAATTATCTTAAACAATAGCATAAAAGATTGTTTTCTTAGAACTGCATACATAGCTTAAACTAAAGGTAATTTTCACAAAGAAGCAAGAGGTATTTCATAAAATGTTCTGTCATTTTCGAACTGCGTAGTGAACATGGATTGTTTTCCAAAATACTTATTTTCACTATTCAACAGTCACTTTATACTTCATACATCAATGCTTTTCTATACAAAATTATGTAAATGAGCTGTTGTCAGGTTTATTGTCTAGCACCTCTCTTTTCTCATCTCTTCATCCCCAAGTGCTCTAACAAGTTAAAAGGAAAACCCGTTCATCTAGAGCCGTTATGTTTTCCTCCAATCTATCCCTAATGAAATCCCTAGAGGCTGCCTCAGGTTGCTTTATTACCTTTTTTTCCCTCAAAGACAAGTAGTGGAATTATTTCACCATTCCATCATAAAAAACTTTTAAGTTTTATATTATTTCCTCTGCTGGAGAATATTTCACCTCATCAACTTTATGAAAATCTGTAATAAATAGGAACAGAAAACAGTGAAAGCAGTGAACGTTGGCAGGCTTGTGAAGAGCCAGTGGCTCCCGGCGCTCGGGACAGATGATGGCTCTCTACTGCAGCCTTCCACAGCGGGGGGACACCGCTCTGTCATTCCCGTGATACCCTGAGCCCGTGGGCACGGACGGAGGATGCAGCCCACGGGCCAGGTGTCCCGTGGCCTCTGGCCTCACATTATTTGCCGCCACAGCAATAACGAAGCAGGGGGCGCTCATGAACACAGCCCCTAGGATGTGAGGACCGTGGCTGACAAGATGCTGAAGAGGGTCTGTACTGCAAATAGAGTCCCTGACGACTCCTTTCAGATGGGCAGCTCTGGTGCTCAGTTAAGGACCAGGGAAGCTACTCAAATTCAGGGCCTGGCTTCCCTGTTACCTTGTAAGTATATCTCAACTCTGGAAAGCTCTGGAACGTCTTCCATTAATTTTCATTATGGAGTGTTATTTCCTTCATTTTATGGATGAAGGAACTAAGGCCTAGAGCTATAATGACTCTAAATAATCCAAAGGCTCCCCTTGCCACTTGACCCCACCACCATCATTCCTAGCAGAAGATAATTTATCAGACCCATGCATGTGACCAGCTGGTTCTTAGGGAGAGAAGCTAGCATACCTCACTCACCCTAGCTGGCCAGCTGCAGACCCTCTCCAGCTTAGGCACATGAGGGTGCGCGGTCTTACTAGGGTTTATGGTATGCACAGGTCAGGGAAAAATGTTCTTTGTCTTTTTTTTTTTTTTTGGAGTTGAGGTAGACAACATATATGTACAACTGGAGTGTAAATCAAGGAAAATCCAGCCAACTGTATTTCTAGATGGAAAAGTGACAGCAATTAAGAAACATTTTTAGAGATGTCATATAAAAAAAAAAATGAAGAGGTTTGCCAAAGTCTCAAAGAGTTTAAATGAGGACTGTACAACTTCTGTTAGAGGTTCCTAGTACACTGGAAAATCAAAATGCTAAGAAGGAATTGTATAATGAACATTATCTTCTTTTGATCCTGCTGAGGTATTCCTTTAACTGCATGTATAACATTATTGGAACTAACACTTAATGAGTAAATTTTTAGCTTTTGTGAATGTGAGGTCAGGACCAAACGGGGTACCATTTGGCCCCTGGGGGACAGGTACTGGGAGTTTTGACTGAGAAGACCTGTGCATAACCACCAGCTCAGCCACTTTGCTGACCGAATGACCTGTGGCCTAGTTAGCTATCCCTGGGAGACTCAAGTGCTACTGTATTTACTGAAACAACATGTGTAAGGGGGGTTTTAAACTCTTACATGACACTCAGAGCTACTTATTTTATTCAAAAAATTTATTTTCTAAGCAGCACTTAGTTAGGAGAAACTGGTGTCTCCTTCATTGTCCATGGGATGGTGGGGAAATGGTAGTGGTGGTAGAAAGGAGTGACAGCACCCCATGCATTTGCTGTGTGTGTGGCATTGGGGTTCCCAGGCTCATTACTGAATGGAAAAATTAAACTGCTCCTACACCAAAAATACTTTATTTGGGTTAAAAGTTGTATGGGGAGCTCACATGTGGTGGTATCTGAAAGGTGGGGAGGATGTGATGATGTAAGACATGCGTAGGAATCTCATGATGCCGTGGGGGCTGAGCTTGATCTCAGTAGCTGTGAGTCGTGGGGTGAGGTGAACTCTGTGGCAGAAATGAATGGACAAAGCCCTGTCCACAGCTACAGCAGATGGGAGCAGCGTCCTTGTTCTCCCACACCTTGCCTGGCCCGCACTTGCCATATATTATGTGCTCAATGGACGTCTGCTGAATTTATAATATGGGAAAATATTTAGGGGTGGTATGGACATAGTGATGGAAATAGATTGAGTAGCTGAGCTAGGAGAAGAAGGAAGGGGGCAGACAACAAATGAGGTTTCCTGAGGATGAAAGGCTAAGAAAGGTCAAGCTGAAGATGGACCTCTTTGGGCCTGAGTTATTAGACATAGGGAACCATGAAAAGATTGGTAATGGCATAAAATAAAGTGATTAAAAAAATAGCCTTTGTGTTTCCCTCACTCTCATTCATTTGTTCCTGCAAATGTTCACATGTTTTCATTTTATGTGCCAGCCTAGTGAGGCACCCATGCAAAGAAATTTCCATTAGATGGTGGAAACCTGCCTTGTCTCCAGACTGTGGTCTCTTAAGGACAGAGCAAACCCCTTGACCTGGATACAGTGATACAACTGCACATGTACATGTTTAAGAAATTGTTTTTGAGAAGGCAGCAGGCTCAGAGAGTGTAAAAGAACTGCTCAGTGGAGCCCAGCCAGAGAGCTAATGGCAGAGCTGGGACCGAGACCACAGACATTCCCCACACACTGGGCACCCTCCTTCTGCTATGGAGACATTAAGTAACAGGCCTTGATTGATTGGATAACTAATTTGAAATTGGGGAATCAGTGACTTTCTGAGTTCTTCATTGATGAGAATGTCTGGATCTCCAGGGTTACCTGAATTGTTAAAAGGTAAGAAAACTCTTTTGATCTACAAAAACACCCAGTTGCTGATTTTGCGAAATGTGTTATTTTTCTCATCAGATTCCAGTATGTGTTTGAGAGAGAGATGCACCATTGGGTATTTTTGGGTTGTTTCTCTTATAAGCTAGAAATGCATGGAGATGAAGTGTTAAGCTCTGGGGGAAAAACACAATGACTTTTCTCATCTAAAGTGTCTCAGTTTGGGAATAGCACTTTGGTTCAGGACATGTAGGTAAAAGCTGAAACTCTACCCAGAATTTAACATGGATGAACTAGGAAAGACAATTAGCAGATGCATTTTCTCTTTTGGCCTGAGCTATCAGCAGGACCAGAGTTAAATGTAGTCCTTAACTGAACTAATAGCCAAAAATATCTGGTAACAAAGACTTTTTTATTTTTCTTTTGTTAGTTTTGTTTTGATTATTTAGAATCTTCATGTTTAGTCTACTGTAAGTTGCCAAAACCAAACAGTGTGCGGCTTGCTTATGGCTGTGCCTCATAGGACATGGTCCTACATAGGTGAGATGCAAAGATTCCACTCCACAAATTAACATCTGTGCCTTTGAGGGGGACTAAGCCCCACTGCTCCCTAATATGGACTGAAAGTTTGCATCATCCCCAAATTTATGTGTTGAAGCCCTACCTCTCAAGGTGCTGGTATTTGGACATGGAGCTTTTGGGAAATAATTAGGGTTAGATGAGATCACAAGGGTGGGCCCGAATGATGAGATTAGTGCCCTTATATGAAGAGACACCAGAGAGTTTGCTTGCTGTCTTTGCATATGTCCACAAAGAAAAGGTTGTATGAGCACACAGGAAGATGGCCATGGTCTGCCAGCCAGGAAGAGGGCTCTCTCCAGAACCTGCCTGGGCTGGCACCTTGATCTCAGACTTTCAGCCCCCAGAACTGTGAGAAAATGTGTCTATTGTTTAAGCCACCCAGTCTGTGGTATTTTTCTTGGCAACCTGAGTGGACTAACATTTCCTCTTTCTGAACCTCTCTAAGAAAGTCTTTGAAAGCCCCGAAGAACTATGCTCTATCTGGTTTTCTCTAAATTTGCCTCATCACAAAGATCATCTTGGACATCTGTTAAAAATTTATATTTCCAAGTTCTCCCCTAGAGATTCTGATTTGGCAGTTCTGGGAAGTGGCCTGAGACCCTGTATTTTTAACAGAGTCTATATTTTATATGCCCCAAGTGACTGACAGTCAGAGAAGTATGGGACACAGGGTCTCTCTTGAGAGTATTGCTCTCCATAGGAGATTCATCTTAAATAGGAAGAAAAAAAGAATGGTCTCTTATGTCCATAAAGCCATCCTTTTTAGGCTGAGGATAGGTAAAAGGTAAGCCCATTTGGCCCAGAACCTAGGCCTATATAATGGCCTCTGCCAATTGCTCCATCTCATCTGGGGATTTGTCAGATGCTTGGCTCAGCAGGATAATGCATTGATGATGTCATACTTCAGATGAATTAATGAAGCATTGTGTCTTGGCTTGTGTAGGAAGACTTTGTGCCCATTGGGAATATTCGCGTATGTTTGTATGTACAGGCTTCATAAATGGTCTTGTCAGGATGAAATACTTGTCAATGAATAGTTGTGTAAAGAAGGAAAGCACATTTATTTCTACAGGCTGTTCAG